CTGTGAACTTGTACCACTTATAAATTAGAGTTCTTTATTAACTTGAAAATAAGTTACCAGTCACATTGGAAATTCAATGAAGAAATATGGATAAATTCCTATCTCCAGTAGAGGAAGGGTTCAAAATATATGTTTGCAAGAAGATGAGAAGTATCTATGGTATTTGTATAAAAATGTTAATATGTTATATTGTTTAAAATCTTAAAGCTATAATCTCTCAGCTTTTTGCAATGAAAATAATGATAAAAATATGTATGCACCCAAAAATGCGTGTATATATGTACACACATATAGGTACATAGATACATAAATACATTTTGTGTGCATGCAAAATAAATAAACAGATTGTGTATTGCTTTATTGCATGTCACAGATGTTGCATTTTTTACAAATGGAAGGTCTACATCCTTGCATCCTGCAAGTCTATCAGTGCCAATTTTCTTTTTTCTTTCTTTCTTTTCTTTTCTTTCTTTTTTTTTTTTTTTGAGACAGAATCTCACTCTATGGCCCAGGCTGGAGTTCAGTGGCATGATCTCAGCTCACAGCAACCTCCGCCTCCTGGGTTCAAGCAATTCTCTTACCTCAGCCTCCTGAGTAGCTGGGACTATAGGCATATGCCACCATGCCTAATTTTTTGTATTTTTAGTAAAGATGGGGTTTCACCATGTTAGCCAGGATGGTCTTGATCTCCTAACCTCATGATCCACCTGCCTCTGCCTCCCAAACTGCTGGGATTATAGGCGTGAGCCAATGCGCCTGGCCCCAGTGCCAGTTTTCTAACAATATATGCTCACTTCATATCTGTATCCCATATTGGTGATTCTAACAATATTTCAAACTTTTTCATGACTATTATGTTTGTCATGGTGTTGTGTGACTAGTGATCTCTGATGTTACTATTGTAACTGTTCTGGGGTTTCATGAACCATGCCCATACAAAATGGTAAATTCAATTGATAAATGTTGTGTGTGTTCTGACTGCTCCACCCATCAGCCATTCCCCCTTTCCCTCTTCCTCTCCTTGGGTCTCCCCAGTCTCTGAGACCAAACAATATTGCAGTTAGGCCAACTACAGTAACCTCGAAGTATTCAAGTGAAAGGAGGAAATGTGCATCTCTCACTTTAAGTGAAAAGCTAGAAATGATTATTAGTGAGTAAGGCATGTTGAATGCTAAGATAGGCTGAAATCTGGGCCTCTTGCTCCAAACAGCCAAACTGAGAATGTGAAGGAAAAATTGAAGGCAATTAAAACACTAATTACACAAATGATAGGAAAGCAAAACAGCCTTATTGTGGATATGGAGAAAGTTTTGACATATTTCTGCTGAACCCTGAAACTCAGAGGAACAGGCTTAGAAGACAAGAATAGATCAATATCATTATTATTTAGTGCTTTTGAAATCTATCCAGACTTTCTGAAAAAAATGGTGCAGTGAGTTCATGCTTTGACACATTCCCTTTGCTCCAGCATAATCTAGAGCAAGGTCTTAACTATCTTTAATTCTGCAAAGTCTGAGAGAGGCGAGAAAGCTTTGGAAGAAAACTTGGAAGGTAGCAGAGGTTGGTTTATGAGGTTGAAGGAAAGAAGCCATCACTGTAGCATAAAAGTACAAGATGAATCAGCAAGTACTGAGATGGAGAAGTTGTACGAAGTTATCCAGATCTAGCTAATATCATTGATGAAGGTGGCTACACTGAACAACAGATTTTCAGTGTCAACGAAACAGCCTTCTGTTGAAAGGAGATGCCGCGTAAGACTTCCACATCTAGAGAGGAGAGGTCTATGGCTGCCTTAACTAAACCCTAAGTATTTTTAGTTAATACTTTTTTAGACATTAGGCTGTTGCACATTTAATTTACTAAGTTTTAGTGTAGATATAACATTTATATGCACTGAGAACCAAAAAAAAATGGTATGGCTTGCATTAATGCAACATTAGCCTTATTATGGTTATCTGGAACTGAGCCTGCCATATTGCTGAGATATGCCTGTGCATACATCCTCAGTTTTTAAAAGTATTTTATTGCGTTTTAGGTTTTGGGGTACATGTGAAGAACATGCAGAATTGTTGCATAGGTACATACATGGCAATGTGGTTGCTGCCTTCCTCCCCATCACCTATATCTGGCATACATCTTCACTTTTTACAAGCATTATGTTATCTTACAAGATCTTATAAGATAATGCTTATAAAAAATGAAGATGTATGCCAGATTTTGCTTTTAGAGGTTATAAGAGTTGGAATATTATTATTTCCTAGTTTACTTGCTTTGCAATGTAATTTATCTTGTCTGTGTATATCGTAAAATGATTTAAACATTTGGAAAAGCTGAAGATCAGCCTTCTCCTGAAACCCTAGACAATTTCTACCTGTTTTTTGCTTGTTTGCTTGTTTGTTTCTTTTCCTTAAAGGCAGAATCTTGCTGTGTTCCCAGGCTGGAGTGCAGTAGTGCAATCTCAGCTCACTGCAACCTCCACCTCCCTGGTTCAAGCTATTCTCCTGCCTTAGCCTCCTAAGTAGCTGGGATTACAGGCACAAACCAGCACTCCTGGCTATTTATTTTTATTTTTAGTAGAGACAGGGTTTCACTATGTTGGCCATGCTGGTCTCAAACTCCTGACCTCATGTGATCCACCTGCTTCGGCCTCCCAAAGTGCTGGGATTCCACGCGTGAGCCACTGTGCCAGCTGTGTTTTGTTCTGGTTTATCTGTACTACTTCCATATCCAACCTCCCTAGTCGAAAGCGACCTACTGTACTCACTGAACTAATAGAAAACGTATTGATTTTCCATTTGTAGATGTTATTCTCTACTAAATGGCTTTTCCCTAGAAATATTAAAATTTAAAATATATTTCAAGATTCTGCTCTTTCAGCCTTTATACATCTCTGTATGCTAAAGGAATTTTTGTTTTTATAAATGCATATCAACAACAATGCTTTGCCTACTAAGTTTGACCTTATGGAATTTCTTTTGTTATTATTTTGAACTGTTTATCACATCTGTCTAGCTGTTCTCTTGTCATCACCATGTATGATTCATTTTTAAATTTCTCCCCTGAACTCTCCATTCTAAGTTCAAAGACACTGTTTAACATGTGGTGGAAGCTGAATATTTTTTTGGTGTGAATTGATATTCTAGCACCTTAAAAAGAATTGCCCAATAAAGAGTATCGCATAAGTTTTTCAGAGTCAACATTTTCAGTCAATGGAGATACACATTCTTAAAAACACTTTTTTTATGTCCAACTTAAAGTATATTTTAATAGGCCATTTTCAAAATCAATTGTGTCAGTTACCTATGATACCTAAAATAAATTATTCATTCCAACCCATAATTATACTTGAAGAAAAAAATAATTCATGAAAGAGCTAGCAGTATCTGTGTAAGAACCATACATGGGGACATTTGTTCCTGGGTCATTTAAATAATTTACTTTGAAAAGGTTGTAACTTTATTCATATGCAAGGACTTTTTCAGACTAATCCTTTTTAAAATTTTAGTGGCAGGTTTGGACTAAAATGTTCAAATAAGAAGTTGTATGTGATACCGTTAAGTAAATCAGAGGAAAGCAAAGCTGTTCTTGTTGAACCTGGGTTAAGTGGCACACAGTGCTGACTATGTACTGCTGCCTTTGACATATTTCTGCTGAACCCTGGGACTCAGAGGAGCAGGGTTAGAAAACCTGAATAGATCTATACCATTATTATTTAGTCTTTTGAAATCTGTCCAGACTTTCTGACAAAATGGTGCAGTGGGTTCATGCTTTGACACATTCCCTCTGGTCCAGACACTTCACAATGCTAGATAGTAGAGCTGTCCCATTAAATACTCTGAGAATGAACATCATCACTGGCACAGACCAAAACCAGAGTAGAACCAGAAAAGGGATCAGGCCTGCAGCCCAGGCTTCTTGTCTTCCAGTAATTATACTGGTCCCGAATAATTGAGGACCTGAATTATTCCAGGTCCTGAAACAAGCAGGAAAACGGAGAGAAACCATATTTCACACTTGATAACAGCTGACATGTGAAGTTCCCATTCAGCTCTAACTTATAAAACCAATTCCAGCCATAGCCTCTTCTTTCTAGGAAGTTGTAATCCTGAAGAAAGGAAGAAAATAATACAGTTTCAGAACTGAAGACTGAGCTTCCTAATAGACAAAGCAGGCATAATTAAATTAATCAAGTTGCATACAAGAGAGGTAAAGTGCTTTGTAAGACTAGATAGCCATTGAACAGTCATCAGCGCTCTTGATGGGCATCAGTAAGGACACTTCTCTGAAACAACTGAAGTCCTAAGAGCAATAACATCTCCATGCTATTAAAATGTTTGCCTCTGGAAGTCAGATTGAAGTCTGCTTGCGTTTCATGTAATGAATTTGATGACTTGTGTAATACTCCATAATGTATGTATTAGTCAGTACAGGCTGCCATAAGAAAATAGTATGCTAAAACATACTAAACAGGTAGCTAAAACAACAGAAATCTATTTTCTCACACTTCTGGGGGCTAAAAATCCTGGATCAACGTGTAGGCAGACTTGGCGTCTCCTGAGGCCTCTCTCCTTGGGTTGCAGGTGGCCACCTTCTTGCTGTGTCCTCACACAGCCTTTCCTCTATGCAAGTGCATCACTTATGTCTCTTTCTTCTTATAACCTTTGTTACCTTCTTAAGCCTCCTTTCTATAAATACATTCCTATTGCTGGTTAGGGTTTCAAGATGTGAATGTTGAGGTGAGGATACGATTCAGCCAGTAAGGGAATTGAATCTACAGGCAAACGTTCTTTGTTTGTTTGTTTGTTTTCTGTTTTTTCCCCAGAAATTTTTAAGTTAATGCATTTGAAATTTTTTCAAAAAGAACTGTCATCTAAAATATCAGACTAGAAAAAATCAAGAGTAATATGATAAACTGTCTTATAATTTTGCTGTGAGAATTCATTGGGACACACACACACACACACACACTTGCATCCATGATCATTATTCCTTTTTTGCAGCCAACAGAAGCTGTTCTAATGGAGCTCTGGTATGTGCCTCCTCTAACAGCTGTATCCCAGCCCACCAGCGCTGTGATGGTTCTGCCGACTGCGTGGATTTTCAGCTCGATGAGTCCAGCTGCTCAGGTACCTCGTTTCCATTCAAATATTCTTGTGATACAAACAAGCAATTTAACCTTCACACAATGAAAATATTAAAACTTCAGATTCTAAATAATGGCAAGCATGGAATAATTGGATTTCTAATATTGGTTTTGGGGCAGAAAGAATGTTGACATTAGTTGCTACGTGTCTAAAAAGTTGTAAACATATAATGGGCTCATGCTAGTTCTACACAATGTTTGATAAGAAAAATCAAATGTATAATTATAACACAATGTAACTTAAGAATATTAGTCTTTAATAATCTTTCCTATGAAAATTGCTTGGTTTCTATAATAAGGAAACCCTATACAATCTAGTGCTATTAATTTTTTTTAATAGTTGTCTTCTTTTTCCTACTTCTTTATAAGAGCTTCCTGTTTGCATGATCTAGTTACGTATTTAAAAGTAAATTTGACATCTAAACATTTTTCTTTCTTCTGACCTTGGAACATTTACACAATGTAAGAACTAACTGTATATATCTGTGATTATACTTTTATCAAAACTTCTTGAAAATTTCCTAATTTATTGTAGCCCTTTGTTAACGTCTCTCCCGAGTAAATGAACGTTTATTTCATATAGTTGATATATGAAATTATAGACCATTAAAGTGAATATAATTTTGTCATAACTAAAGGATAATATAAATTAATGATAGCGATATATTTAGTGAGATTTCCTGAATAAGTTGGAAATATCTTATATCAAAACTAGTTAAGAAGGTACCCTTTGTATCTTTCAAGAAAGGAGACCATTATGAGATATGTGCTTAGAAGCATGATAATTGTAATCAAATCACAGTGTGAAAAAGTCTTATTCTTTATCCTGCTGGAAATGAGTACTCACACAGCGCTGCATTTTATGAGCACAAAAGCAAATAAAAAAGTGACCAGGTCTGGCCCCATAAAATATGCAAAGATGAATACTCTTTGTCATTGTTTCTGCACTTGAAATGAATGTACTTTAGATGAGATACCAAGAGATACCAAAAGAGAAATGGTATTATTTTCTTTACAGAGAGTAAGAAAGCCATTACTGAATATCTCCATTCTTTGAAACTATTAAGACACAGTATTTATGCTAGACTCAAACTTATTTACATAAAAGCAAGATTATCTTTAGCATGGTGCTAAATGAGCACAAACATAATATGTTATAATTTGTTATCTTCTTTGATATAGTCTACTTTAAAGAACAGGATCAGGAAAGCAAAAGACTTGTCATTCATACCCAGTGGTAGACAATCTGTAGGTAGTACTATAGAACACATTTGTCTTGTCTGTCTCTTTTCATCAGTCACCAGTCATGTTTACAGTTCACTTACAAAGTATAGGTCATGTTGACATATCTATTGGGATAGGGTAAAATAAAGAACTAGTGAAACTCACAGTTTTCAGAAATAAAATCCCGATTATATTGTGTTTTGTCTGTTTATATGTTATATGCTTTTTGACTTGTCAGTCAAGTATAATAAAGTCAAGCTTCTATTTTTAAGATGTCTTCAAGATGGACCCACACTAAGGATTTGTCAATGTGCATGACACATTACTCTTCCTTTCCAACCTTATATTCTTTTAAGATCAGCATTTAATAGGCTTTCGTGAACCCAATTCTTACAACATCCAGTAATTCCCATAGTGATCTCACCATGGTGAGAATCTGGCCTCACCTACCTTAAGGTTTAAGTCATAAGCAAGAACATTATGCTTGGGCACTGTATACATGTTGCAGGCTACGTATATTTCAATGAATCCTGTTCATGCCTAACTCATTGTAGAAGTATATTATTTTCAAGTTTTGGTTGCTTATGCAACTAGAAATTATTGGCCAGAATTTGTCTGGCTGAATCTAAACTGAAAGTGTTTTTCTAGTCATTTGCAGTAGTAGAGGTTAATAAAGCTTATGCTAAGGTGAAACTACAACTATGATAATCATTCATTGAAGGAGAATTAGAAAAGGAAACTAACAATATAAAATTGTAGGATGAGACATTATAAATATAATGCTATGTGTAATAAATACTGATGAAGATGCAGCTTAATAAAGTTTCAGAAATATTCAAAAACCAAGCCAACACAAACACAAATGCTTCTCAGGCAAATACTATGGAGCTACTTCAAGTTTGTTTATTATTATTATTTTTTAATTGACACATACTTGTGCATATTTATGGGGTATAACGATGTTTCAGTGCATATGGTGTGTTGTATCATGATCAAATCAGGGTAGTTAGCTTATCTATCACCTCATGCATTAATTATTTCTTTGTAGTAAGAACGTTCAAGAGCCTCTCTTCTAACCATTTTGTAGTATACCATATCTTACTATTCATCCATTACCCTACTGTGCAATAGAACACCAAAACTTATTCCTTCTGTCTGATAGTAACTTTGTACCCATAGAACAATCTCTGCCTGTCCTTTTCCTCCCCTTTCCAGCCATTGGTAAGTACTGTTCTAGTCTCTGCTTCTATGACATCAACTTTTGAGGTTTGGTAGTTTTTCCTGCAGTCCCTGTGCCAGGATTTCAGGGTAAAGAGAATAATCTCCTCCCTCTGGGACTTTGTTTGCTACACAAAATCTTTGGGTGGATTCCTAGGGTCTATATATTTCTTCAAACTATGTGCAGATAATTGTGTATATGCATATTTATCTGGCACAGTACATACACGCCACATGATTCAAAGGGGTTTGTATGCCCACAACATCAAAAACTGCAAGCAGTTGTAGAAATTCTGAGCTAAATAGCTAATCATTTGACATTTTTACTCTAACAGGCTTTGGAGTCAGAAGGCCAGGGTTTAGTTCTAGTTAAAATGCTTCTTTGCCGTTAACTCAAGTAAGTTATATTAACCACTGGAGGCCTCACTTTTCTCCTCTGCAAAATGAGAGTAAGTATGGTACAAGACACAGTGTTATGAGGACTAACTGAGATAACACATGTAAGACTCTTAAGTCAGTCCCGGATGCATAGCAGGCCTTATGTAAATGGTAGTGGTGACGGTGATGGCGATTATAACCACAAAGGAAGGAAAGGAAGAGAAGACGGATAGAGCAATATCAAGGAAACTGGGTTTCACAAGCAATGCAAAGACTCCCCGCCGTATAGAGAGGTGATTGAGAACGATTATTTAATACTTTATACACACCATTCACTAGCATAAAAATGCTAACGAACAAATTTAATTTCACCTTCCTAGCAGTCCTATAAGGAAGTGATATCATACATTCTTCTACATGAAGAATCTTATACTTAGAGTACCTAGCCCAAAGTCCCATAACTCTTAAATGACTGAGCCAGGCATCATGAGGGAAAACCAGGATTCATGTGGCTATCAATCTTCCCAGCACACTAGTACATAGCACCTGTCACTTCCCTAGTCTCTATGTACATTAAAGAGGGGAAATAAGTGTTTACTTGCAAATTATTTAAGCTTAAAAGTTGCTATCGTTTTTATACATGTGTTCCTGCTTTACCAATGAGATATATCAGAATGGGATACAATGTGAAATACTCAGAATGATATTTCTGTGCAACCAATTGTGAGCTGTATTGGTTTCTAGACGCATATTCATAATAACCAACACAAAGGCATACAAGCCAGTGAGACATTGCTGTGGCTAAAGATTGGGAACCTCTGCTAATAGTAATATTGCCCCATGGATTCCCAGTTCCCATAGTGGAAATTATATCTGCTTATCTCCTGGGAATACTCAGCCTCTTCATGGCTAATTAGCCATATCCATCTCCTTCCCCATTTCATTTGCTCTCTGCTTAAAATTGTTTTGAGTAAATTAAAGCTGAAAATACTTTGTGCTGTGTCTTTCTGTATTATGGATAAAGAACCTGGGTCTAAGGCAGAAAACGATAAAAACTTTTCACAGAAATAAACTGTGAGTCTTCCGCCCTGCAAAACACCAGGACTCACATCTGGTTCCAGTGAACATCTGCGTTTCTTGCTCTGTGCTCCACTAAACAGCACAAAAATGCACATTTAGATTCCCACAGAATCATTCTGATGTAAAGCAAGCTTATGTTTCATTTTCTGTAATATATTAAATATGAATGACCCACCCAAAAATAGGCAGCTCTGCCATACTGTTAGTTTTCTGATCTTCTGCAGTCTTAGACACTCTTCTCATTTTTCAATGAAACAAAATCCATGTTTGAGGAAGAATGAAATTATACTTAAGACGAAAAATGACCATGAAACAGCTTATCTAACAAGGTTTATACCGATATAAGCTTTATCATATTGGTGGCTATTTTTCAGTCAAACCAGCAAATTTCTTGTTTATAAAGGAGATTTCATGTCTGTTCTGTTCAGTGGAGCATGGCCCCCAGGCCTGAGGGGGGAGCTCCTTACTCTCATCTTTAGCACCCCACTCCCCTGTTTTACGTAATTAGTTAAATAAGGAGTATTAAGGGAGGGCAAGATGGGAAATATATCCCTGGGAAAGCAAATTGCTGATTTCTTTTTGAAACCAAATATGGTGCCAGACACAAGATATATTTCATTTTTGATCCTAAACTGCAAATTCCCTCCTTCTTTGCTTTCCTCTTTCTTAAAGCCTGCCATCCCTTCTCCAGTCTGTAATGACTGCCTTTATTAGCCCATTCTCACACTGCTATAAAGATATACCTGAGACTGAGTAGTTTATAAAGAAAAGAGTTTTAATGGGCTTATTGTAGGTTGTACAGGATTCTGCTTCTAGGGTAGCTTCAGGAAACTTGCAATCATGATTGAAGAAAAAGGCGAAGCAAACATACATTCACGTGCCTAGCAGGAGAGAGAGAGAGAGAGAGAGAAGGGGGAAGTGCTAGACATTTTCAAACAACCAGATATCAGGAGAACTCTGTCATGAGACAGCACTAAGGGGATGGTGATAAACCATTAGAAACCACTCCCATGATCCAGTCACCTCCCACTAAGCCTGACCTCCAACACTGGGGATCACAGTTTGACAAGAGATTTAGATGGGGACACAAAGCCAAAACTTATCACTGCTTAACAATCTACTCTCTCAAGGCATCCTTTCCTTGTATGTTTTACTTCTATACATATTGCTTACATAAAATTTCTAGTTCTGTGTTTTTTCACTACCCTTCATGGTTATCATCATTTCTCTGTTCTAGTAAATGGTCTCTCTCTCTCTCTCTCTAAGATTGGGCTTGTCAAAGGCAAGGAATATATCTACATGACCCTATAGTACCAGAAACAGTGATCTCAAAATGACTTGAGGAAAAATCCTGAAAAGTGATGCTATCTAAAAGGCAGAGAAAAAAAAAATCTGAAGAAAAGCCTCAAATCTGTATCTCTGCTTCATATTAAATGTTTCATCTGAGGCTCATACCTACAAATTCCAATGCTTATGGGTGAGGTCACTTCCACTTGGATGCCCCTTATGTACTTAAAACCTAACATGACCTTTTCCTTTAAATATCTTAGTTCCCCATAAATCCCCCTCAGTGAATGAAACCACCAACTAGCTAATGACCCAGCAAGAAATGTAGACATTATTCTTGACTCTTCCAAATAGTCTCCAAGATGTTTCAATCGTAGTATTTAATTATCTCTTAAAAATACAGCAACTTTCTACCCCCAAGCTCACCCTACTCCTTTAATTCGGACAATCATTATATTTTTGCTAGTTTATTACAAAATATTCTTAATGGGGCTCCCAAATTTTAGTCTTGGTCTTTCTGTTGAGTTGACACACTGCAGCCAGAATTCCAAAGCATGAAACATGGCACTTCCCTTCTTAAAATCTTGGCTCTGCTGGGCTGATGTGGTCCGGGATCTGTGTATCTCTGACTTTTACTTACACTATCTTTGTATTATGAGCAATTCAGTCAGGCTGGGCTGTCTTCAGTTTCCCAAACATGTGACACCCTCTTCTCTGGCCTCTGGGTCTTTATGCTCACCTTTACACGCACGTGCACACTACTGCCCAAATAAATAGCTATGGATTCTCTCTGGAAAGCTTTTCTTACTCCCCATATGTGACCAGAGTGCTCTTCTTGGTGCTCCCATCACCCTTAGAACATTCTTCCCAATATGTTACTTTTGTTTGGCATATTAATGCCGCACTCACACTTTGTTTTTCATCTGGAAGGACAGTAGGAGCAGGGACCATGGCTGTATCTCTTTTTAAAGTCAACTTTTATTAAATTCATACTAACTGGTTGTTCTAACATGCTCACAACCCTATGAGATAGTTATTATTTGTTAACCTTGTTTACAGAAAGCAAACAGAAGCACAGAGAGATTAACTACTTTACCCAATACTACTCAGCTAATAAATTGAGCTGAGATTCCAACTTCAGCAACTGGGCTCCTGTGCCCTCAGTCTTAACAACTAAACTAAGTTGACTTAGTTTATTTTATTTCCAGTGCCCAGCCCAATGCCAGACATTTAATAGGTGCTCAGAATAGATTTGTTCAATTAGAATTAAAGATAGAGGAAATTATAATCCAGTGTTGGAGTTAACCAACAAGGGAGGACTGGTATCCTGCAAGAAAGGTGTTGAATTATACCCCATAAATATGTACAATTACAATATGTCAAGTAAAAACAAAAAACCTGGGAGCAACTTGGGTCTTACTAAATAGGGGAATTGACAGGCTTTCATGGGTCAAGGTGTGTCATAAGGGTATAAGGAGGCAGTTCAATGAACACAACCTCAGGAGCTAAATGGGCTAACCACTCTCACAATAGTTACTCTGTGAAGATATTTAGCATCTTTTTAACCTATAAGCCAACCACCGTTGAAAATAAATGTTCTCGTTGAACTAGAACTAGGGAGTGACACAAGCAATAAAATAGAAGGACAAGGGACAAACCTGAGTTATGCTGAAATTGATCACTGATGCAGAGGTAGGACATCTACATGCTCATAAATGAGTGACTTATCACAAAGACATTTGTCTGTCATGACATAGGGGCTGTTGTGTAGAACTGGAGAAATGTTTTAGTAAACAAAACGCTTTATTATCATCACAAATGTGTCATGCAGACACATTGTAAATAAGTAGATGATACCCAATCCAGGGGAGAAGTTCTATTGTTCTAAAGCACTGTGGGTTGACTACAGTTAACAATAGTATATCATATAGTTTTAAACAGTTCCAAGGAGGATATCAAATGTTCTCAACATAATAAATGATAAATTTCTGAGATCATAGATTTTCTAATTGCTCAGATCTGGTAACTATACACTATATATATATACACACATATATATTACATATATACATATACATATATATGTGTGTATATATGTATAAACTTTTTATTCCATAAATATGAAAAATTATTATATTTATTATATTTCAATTGAAAAAAGAAGAGGTCAGATGTGATAGCTCCGACCTGTAATCCTAGCATTTTGGGAAGTTGAGGTGGGAAGATTGCTTGAGGCTAAGAGTTTAAGACCACACTGGGAAACAATGGCAAGATCCCACCATTACAAAAATTTTTTAAATTAGGCAAGCGTAGTGGTGGGCACCTGTGGTCCCAGCTATTCAAGGCTGAGGTGGAAGGCTTGGTTGAGCTTAGGAGGTTGAGGCTGTAGTGAGCTGTGTTTATGCCATTGTACTCCATCCTGAATGACAGAGTAAGACCCTGCCTCAAAAAATAAACAAACAAACAAACAAACAAACAAATAAATATTAAAAAAGAGAGAGGGAGAGGAGGAGGAGGAGGAAGAAAAGCAAAACCAGCAGAAGAAGCAGAAGCAGAAGAAGAAGAAGAAAGAGAAGGAAAAAATAGCAAAACAAAACAAACAAATACTTTTTTTTCTGAGACGGAGATTTGCTCTTGTTACCCAGGCTGGAGTGCAATGGCATGATCTCAGCTCACCGCAACCTCTGCCTCCTGGGTTCAGGCAATTCTCCTGCCTCAGCCTCCCAAGTAGCTGGGATTACAGGCACGCGCCACCATGCCCAGCTAATTTTTTGCATTTTTAGTAGAGACAGGGTTTCACCATGTTGACCAGGATGGTCTCAATCTCTTGACCTCGTAATCCACCTGCCGCGGCCTCCCAAAGTGCTGGGATTACAGGCTTGAGCCACCGCACCCGGCCAAACTAATAATTTTTTAAAGTCTTCTCTTCTTGTGGATCATTCAGGCATGTGAAGGGCGTGAACACATTCAGGGCAGCAGGGGCCGATGAACAAATTTGGAGGGAGTACAGGAAAGTGGCCTATGGGAATTCTTTTGCTTTTTGCAGCTGGAAAGCAATTTACTCTCAGAGATTAGGTTTAATGTAATGAAAAATAGTGATATCTTCTCCTTCCTCCTAATACTATATATAATCAACTGGCGTCTTTGTGATGCTTCTTTTTAGAATGTCCATTAAATTACTGCAGAAATGGTGGGATTTGTGTAGTGGAGAAGAATGGTCCTGTGTGTCGGTAAGGAGCATTGTTTAATTATTTTTTAACATTTGTTGAAACTTGCTTACTTATTTTTCTATAGGCTGATAGGATAGAGCATCAATCAGTATGTGGTTAGTAAGGTAAAATAGTGGATAATGGCACTATTTACATTTATTTTCCTGAATAAGGTATAGGAATATGTGAGTGCATTTCAGAGAAATATCTGTTATTTATTAAGACTGTGTATATTTTTCATCATTTTATATGTGGAATATATAATTTTGATAATATTCACTATTCCTTGCATTTAATACTTATATCAGGTTTTTGCAAGATTTTTTCTTATATGAATATCTTTCTGTTTCAGAGCAACCTTGTGGCTGCATTTTCTCTCTTTATTTCAATGTTTATATTTCTCTTTAACAATAAAGGATGAAATTAATTTATAAATAAGACCATCTGCTGGTGTATGCAGTGGGTATTTATAAGTAGAGTTAAGGTATAGATAAGAAATACATTTGCATACTCAAAGTAAGAGTAAACAAAAATAGGCCTTGTGATTTCTCTGGGGAAATATTTGTATTGCATCTCAAAGATGGCTTGATTTCTTCTCTCACCCTTTAGGGAATTGTGCAAAACAATTTCATAAACTCCAAAGGAAATGATGCATATTTCATTATATTTTTGTTTATGACTTTATAATCTAGTATACCAATGAACATATCACTTTCCTTATTAGAAAACTCATTGAAGGTTGCTACTCAGGTCACTATGAGACACACAAAGGTATCTGGGAAACAATAATTTATAGTTGTTTGAGTCCTTATTTCTTTAGGAATCAACACACATAATGTAGAAAAGTAGTTTATTCCTAAAAACAAAAACATCTACCAAATAAAACAATAACAAAAATTTTATGATGACTGTATTTAGAAACTGTTTTAGTGTAACATTGTTGACATGTAATTACTAATGAGTTTCTTGGAAGGGTTTTCTCTTTCAATGCTTTACAAAATTTATTTCTCAATATATCAGCAAAATTATACTTTTCCCCATATCAGTTTCCATGGAAATTAATTTATCACAAACTATTACTTGATGGAAAGACAGGATATATAATATTAATTTCTAAAATCTCCTGAAAGAAGTTGAGAATGATGCTGTAAATAATGTTCATTAAATGTTAGCTGAGTGGATAACATTATTTAATGTCAATTGCTTACAGTACAGAGGTTTGATTTTTGTCCTCTTCAACTCTAATAGGCCAGAAAACTCCCAGAAAGAGCAAGAAAAGAGCTTTACATTCTTGGCAACATCCTCATGGTCTCAATTAAACTTTAAAAATTAAAATCCAGATGCTGAAGTCCTAAACTTGTTTCTCTCAAATGGGACAACTCTCAGGTGAGGGAGATGAGACAGAAAATTGAGAGAAGAAAGGAGGTCAATGGAAAAAAATATAGAAAGGAATTCACTACTAAGAAAGTCAATCACATGTTCGAAAGTATTATTTTTAATAGCAAATAATACTTTACCAATAGTGAAATAACTATAATGAACATCAATGCAAACAAATATTGGAATTAGTGCTGCCTAGAATGTAGGTATGAAAAAAATGACTTTTGAAACTTTTTCCATATTGTAATATGTTAGCCATTTCATTCACATTTTTCTTTCTTTAAAATTATGAACTGAAAAAGGAATATATGTGGGTTGCCAAATCTTTTTAAAACACACAGTAGTATATCAGGCAAAAAGTAGAACTCATGTGTAGGTTTAGTAGGTTTGTTACGGAAGTAAATTCATCATGGGGGATTTTGAACACCCAAATACTAAGCCTGGTGCTCATTTTTTATTTTGCTTGACCCTCTCTTTTCTCCCACCCTCCATGATTCAGTAGGCCTCCGTGTCTGTTGTTCTCTGTGTATCTATGTGTTCTCATCATGTAGCTCACACTTACAAGTGAGAACATGCAGTATTTGTTTTCTGTTCCTGTGTTACTTTGCTGAAGATAATGGCCTGTGGCTCCATCCATGTTCCTGCAAAGGATATGATCTCATTCTTTATAAGGCTGCATAGTATTCCATGCTGTATATGTGCCACATTTCCTTTAGCTAGTTTACCTTTGATAGGCATTTAGATTGATTCCATGTCTTTGGTATTGTGAACAGTGCTGTAATGAACATACATGTGTAGATGCCTTTATGATAGAAAAATTTATATTCCTTTAGATATATATCCAGTAATGGGATTGCTAGTGCTGCAATGAACACACATGTGCAGGTGGCTTTATGATAGAAAAAATTATATTCCTTTAGGTATATATCCAGTAATGGGATTGCTGGGTCCAATGGTAGTTATGTTTTTAGCTCTTGGAGGAATCACCACACTTCTTTGACAGTGATTGAACTAATTTACATTTTCACCATCAGTATATAAGTGTTCCTGTTTCTCCACAACCTTGCCAGCATCTGATATTTTTTGACTTTTAAATAATAGCCATTCTTACTGGTGTGAGATGTTATGTAATTGTGGTTTTGATTTACATTTCTCTAATGATCAGTGATATTGGGCTTTTCTTCGTATGCTTATTGGCTGCGTGTATGTTTTCTTTTGAAAATGATCTGTTCATGTCCTTTGCCCACTTTTTAATGGGGTTGTTTGTTTTCTTCTTGTAAATTTGAAATCCCTCATATTAAAAAGGCACTTTAACCTGGAACTTAAAAGACAATAAAGTGATAATCTTTACTTTTCACTTTTTCATCTTGGCAGTGTTTAGAGTAAAATTTTGAAGACCGTGGTCCAAGAAAATAAAGACCATGTTTTTAATACCTTTTCATGAGCAGTCCCTAATATATACCTGGCATTACAAGAGTTATTTGAATAATATGCTGACAAAAGAAATGGTAAATGAATGTAAAGGAAAAGTCCTGTAATTTCAAAGAAAACCATCAATATGTTGAAATATATTCTTTTTTTTTTTTTTTGAGACGGAGTTTCGCTCTTGTTACCCAGGCTGGAGTGCAATGGCGCGATCTCGGCTCACCGCAACCTCTGCCTCCTGGGTTCAGGCGATTCTCCTGCCTTAGCCTCCCGAGTAGCTGGGATTACAGGCACACGCCACCATGCCCAGCTAATTTTTTGTATTTTTAGTAGAGACGGGGTTTCACCATGTTGACCAGGTTGGTCTCGATCTCTCGACCTTGTGATCCACCCGCCTCGGCCTCCCAAAGTGCTGGGATTACAGGCTTGAGCCACCGCGCCCGGCCTGAAATATATTCTTGAAATGTATTGAAATATGAGAAAATGACCTCATCATAACCCAAAGTACCATTCAAAAAAGAATTAGTGGGGATATTCTATGTATGCAACAAGAAGTATTGAGTAAGCATATGATGTATTCATCATAGTAAAGAGTAATTACTCTCCAGTTTATAGGTCAGAGCAACTACCAAGAAGAAAAGGTAATCTATTAGAGAAATTCCATTTTATTACAATGACAGAAGAGGGTTCTCTTAAATTAGAAATCTTGTAAACTATCTCAAATTCTGTAAAATCAAGAGACAAATGAAATTTTCATTCACATAAAGCCTTTGTTAAAAATAAAGTTCAGGGCCGGGCGCGGTGGCTCATGCCTGTGATCCCAGCACTTTGGGAGGCCGAGGCGGGTGGATCACGAGGTCAAGAGATCGAGACCATCCTGGTCAACATGGTGAAACCCCGTCTCTACTAAAAATACAAAAAAAAAAAAAAAAAAAAAAAGGTTCAGTTAGAACACTTCCCCTCCCCACCCAAAAAACAACAAAGAAACATGGTGTAAAAAGCAAAATACTGTAAGACCCTGAACTCCAATTCAAAGCTAAATTAATCATTGTTTATAAAACTATATAATTGGGAATATTTCAAAACAAACACATGCAATACTTCAATATAAAAATTTTAAAGTCTAAATATAAAAATGGGCAATAAAACAGTAAGAATCAGTAGAGCCCAAGGAAATAAATTGGCTGGATTCACTGAATTAATTGAACCTAGGGAAAAAAAATTATTGACAGGGTAAAGATTAAATTAATGTTTTCAAGGGATGGTATATTCAAATGTAAATATATTAAGATGTTTTTAACAAAGGTGGAAAAAATAACTTTGGAAACAGAAATGAGATAAAGTAAGAAGAATCAAAGAAAAAGTAGTTAAAGTGGAAGAAAAACAGCATGCATATGACTGGAGTGCCTAAAGAGGAAAATAAAATAGTAGAACAGAACTAACATTTAAACTATAATTTAAGTGAACTTTTTCAAAACTGAGAAGAGACCTGAATTTACATATTGAAGAAGTCAGCAAGTACCTGAAAAATTTAACATGAAACCAAAAAACTCCAATGCGTATCCTGGTAAAAATAATAAACTTTAAGATACAGAAAAAAATCTTCATGGCCTCTAGGAAGAGAACCAAATAACACAAGAGGACAAGGAATTTGGATTGCATTAGACTTCTGAGTGTTTCCAGAGTTGTGAAAAAGTCTTTGAAAAAATTAATATCCACTCCTTATATTTTAAAAAGAGGCACTATGGAAAATGTAAATTTATGGATATTTTTTGAAATATGGTAAACTCTATATTCCCTATTCCTAAATGTAGCATTTTCCTTAAAAGAAAACATTTTCCTTAAGAGAAAACTGTAAAAAGCAATTCCATTAAAATTAGAAACAAAGCAAGTATAACCACTAGTTTCACTGATATTTCACATTGTACTGGAGGTAGTCACCAATATGAAAACAAGTTATTAAGAATTAGAAGAGAAGTTAAGTTGTCATGATGGTTTACCTGGAGAACCCTAGAGAATTGATAAAAGTTAATTAAAACAATAAAAACAATTTAGTAAGTGAGTTTGGAGGCTATAAAATTAGTATTCTTAGATTAATAGTGTACGTACATAGATGAAACTATTAAAAGGAAAAAATGAAAAATAAAACTATGCACATTGACAACAAAAAGATAAAATATTTAGAAATACATTTAATAAAATAAAACCAAATTTATATAATAAAAACAACCTTGAAGAACTTAAACAACTGGAAAAACATTTTATATTTTAAAAATATATAAAATATATATATATAAAAAGTCAGCTCTTTCCTGGAGAGCTGACTCAATATCATAAAGATATTATTTCTCCCTAGGTAATTCTGTAAGTTTAACACAGTCTCAGCAAAAAGATCTGCAAGCTCTTCATAGGGGTAAACAATTAGGTATTACATTCATATGGAAAAATAAGTGGAACAATAGCTAGTAAAACACTGAGAAAAAAAAATCAAGCGATGAGAATCTGAGTAGCCTACCAATATAGATAGAATAAAACTTTTATTAGTAAGCAGTGTTATGCAGGTATTTGAATAGACAATTCGACATTTCAGACTAGCAGACTAGAGTACAAAGTAAAAAAATGTATCCAAGTACATATGAAAACTTAGTAAATGATAAAGATGGCATCTCGAATTGCTGGACAAAGATGAACTTTTAAAAGGGAGTGTTGGGACAACTAGTTAAGAATTTGGAAAAAGTGGAGGATAGGTTTCTGAACGGCCCCGAGAAGTAGCTTTTCCCCACCTGACTGCTGTCACTCAGCAGTCCAGAGTCTTTGAAGATCAAACCGAACTTCAGAGACTGAAGAGAATAGTCCCTTTTTATTCCTAACAGATTTCTTGCAGCAAAGTAATCGGCAGTCTTCCGTTTCCGGTTGCGTGTTGCCGTGGTACCCAGACATAACAGCCGCGGCGGTTATGGCGGGCCTCAACGGCTCGCAAGTCCCCGACGGTGAGTTCACCGCGGTAGTGTATCGGCTCATCCGCGATGCTCGCTACGCCGAGGCGGTGCAGCTGCTGGGCCGAGAGCTGCAGCGGAGCCCGCGGAGCCGCGCCGGCCTGTCGTTGCTGGGCTACTGCTACTACCGCCTGCAGGAGTTCAGGCTGGCCGCCGAGTGCTATGAGCAGCTGGGCCAGCTGCACCCGGAACTGGAGCAGTACCGCCCGTACCAGGCCCAGGCCCTATACAAGGCCTGCCTTTATCCGGAGGCCACCCGGGTGGCCTTGCTTCTCCTGGATAACCCCGCCTACCACAGCCGGGTCCTCCGCCTGCAAGCTGCCATCAAATACAGTGAGGGCGATCTGCCAGGGTCCAGGAGCCTGGTGGAGCAGCTGCTGAGTGGGGAAGGGGGAGAAGATAGTGGGGCCGAGAATGAGACTGATGGCCAGGTCAACCTGGGTTGTTTGCTCTACAAGGAGGGAAAGTATGAAGCTGCGTGCTCCAAGTTTTTTGCAGCCCTGCAGGCCTCAGGCTACCAACCTGACCTTTCCTACAACCTGGCTTTGGCCTATTACAGCAGCCGGCAGTATGTCTCAGCGCTGAAGCATATCGCTGAGATTATTGAGCGTGGTATCCGCCAGTACCCTCAGCTAGGTGTGGGCATGACCACTGAGGGCATTGATGTTCGCAGTGTAGGCAACACCTTAGTCCTCCACCAGACAGCTTTGGTGGAAGCCTTCAACCTTAAGGCAGCCATAGAATACCAATTGAGAAACTATGAGGCAGCTCAAGAAGCCCTCACTGACATGCCACCCAGGGCAGAGGAAGAGTTGGACCCTGTGACTCTGCACAACCAGGCACTAATGAACATTGATAGCAGACCTACAGAAGGGTTTGAAAAGCTACAGTTTCTGCTCCAACAGAATCCCTTTCCTCCAGAGACTTTTGGCAACCTGTTGCTGCTCTACTGTAAGTATGAGTATTTTGACCTTGCAGCAGATGTCCTGGCAGAAAATGCCCATTTGACTTATAAGTTCCTCACACCCTATCTCTATGACTTCTTGGACGCCGTGATCACTTGCCAGACAGCTCCTGAAGAGGCTTTCGTAAAGCTTGATGGGCTAGCAGGGATGCTGACTGAGGTCCTCCGGAAACTCACCATACAAGTACAGGAAGCAAGACACAATAGAGATGATGAAGCTATCAAAAAGGCAGTGAATGAATATGATGAAACCCTGGAGAAGTATATTCCTGTGTTGATGGCTCAGGCAAAAATCTACTGGAACTTTGAAAATTATGCAATGGTGGAGAAGATCTTCCGCAAATCTGTGGAATTTTGTAGCAACCATGATGTGTGGAAGCTGAATGTGGCTCACGTTCTATTCATGCAGGAAAACAAATATAGAGAAGCCATTGGTTTCTATGAACCCATAGTTAAGAAACATTATGATAACATCCTGAGTGTCAGTGCTATTGTACTGGCTAATCTCTGTGTTTCCTATATTATGACAAGTCAAAATGAAGAAGCAGAGGAGTTGATGAGGAAGATTGAAAAGGAGGAAGAGCAGCTCTCTTATGATGACCCAGATAAGAAAATGTACCATCTCTGCATTGTGAATTTGGTGATAGGAACTCTTTATTGCGCCAAAGGAAACTATGAGTTTGGTATTTCTCGAGTTATCAAAAGTTTGGAGCCTTATAATAAAAAGCTGGGAACAGATACCTGGTATTATGCCAAAAGATGCTTCCTGTCCCTGTTAGAAAACATGTCAAAACACATGATAGTCATTCATGACAATGTTATTCAAGAATGTGTCCAGTTTCTAGAACACTGTGAACTTCATGGCAGAAACATACCTGCTGTTATTGAGCAACCCCTGGAAGAAGAAAGAATGCATGTTGGAAAGAATACAGTCACATATGAGTCTAGGCAGTTAAAAGCTTTGATTTATGAGATTATAGGATGGAATATATAGTAATAGCTAATAATGGCATGTATCAAATGGTTTATTATGTAAATTTGCATTGCTTTACCTTTTGGCATCTTTATATTTGTTACATGTTGAGATTTGTACACTTAAGTAGCTTAAACTTTTGCTGCTGATAAGTTTCCCACAAAGTGAAATATTCTAATAACTTTTACCCCAGAAGGAGTTAGGAAAAATTTCAAACTTATAGGAGATGTTTCTATCAGAACTTGTAATGACTTTGTTTCCTTTCCTTTGTTGTCTTTTGTGCTCTGATGTAGCTTGAGGGGCCTTTGCACAAGCATTACCTCTTTCAGGGGCCAAGCAGTATCTCAGTAGTAGTTAAGAGCAGTCTAATCATTTCAGGGATTGCGTGTTCTATTCTCACAATTTACTGTCACATTAATTTGTAATTCATGCTTTTTATATAGACTTCAGGATATTTTGACAGTGTTTTCTAATATGGATATAATGCTTTACCTAACCAAAATTCCTTAGGTTGTGTTTATTTTATTTTATTTTTTTAACACGCAAAAGTCAGTAAAAAATTTTGTTGCTTTAACAAAATTATGGTGCTATAATGTAGAGACAATGAACAATTATCAAAGAACAATTTTCCCTGGTTTTCTTTTGCTCCCTTTAATACATATATGGACAAAATACACTGTTACTATTTTCCATAATAACTTTTTAAATATTTATCTCTATGACATATAACAGAGGTATCCTGAGAATTCAGGGGTTTGGTTGTTTAAGAGCCAAAGGTTTTATTATGTTTGTTGCCCAGGCTGGTATCTAACTCCTGCACTTAAGCAATACTCCCACTTCAGCTTCCCAAGTAGCTGGGACTACTGGCACAAATCACTGGATCCAGCTAGAACTCAGTTCTTAATTCCTACCTTTGTGTTTGCAATTTAGGATATGCTGGATATACAGTGTTTCCATGTTGTAAACTCTTGGATAAGGAAAAAATCTTGGCCACCAGTCCTGGCCAAAAAGGTTAAAAAAAAAAAGAATTTGGAAAAAGTTAAACTTAGAACCATACCTCACACTATTTATACACAAAGGTAATCTTCACTTAAATCAGAGTTCAAAGCGAAACCATACACGCTAAAGAAATACAAAATGCGGTGGCTCAAGCCTGTAATCCCAGCACTTTGGGAGGCCGAGGCGGGTGGATCACGAGGTCAAGAGATCGAGACCATCCTGGTTAACATGGTGAAACCCCGTCTCTACTAAAAATACAAAAAAATTACTGGGCGAGGTGGCGCGCGCCTGTAATCCCAGCTACTCGGGAGGCTGAGGCAGGAGAATTACCTGAACCCCGGAGGCGGAGGTAGCGGTGAGCCGAGATTGCACCATTGCACTCCAGCCTGGGTAACAGGAGGGAAACTCCGTCTCAAAAAAAAAAAGAAATACAAAATGAATTTCTTTATATTTTGAATGTAGGAAAAAGCTTTTTGTTAATGACTGAAATGCAATTGCAGTTGAAGACAGATGTTAATTACAAAAAAAAAAATTTTTTTTTAACCTTTCTTATGACAACAATTGCCACCATAAGCAGTATCAAGACAACTGGCAGTGTGAGAGAAAATATTTATGTTGCATGTATCAGAAAAAAGACAAATATCCCTAATAAATAAAGAACTATTTTAATGTGCAGGAAAAGCCCAGATATCACTGAGAAGAAAGGGACAAAAAATTCATTTTAAAATAAAGAGAATGATTAATGTTCTCCAGAGAACCAGAACCAGTAGGATATATATGTAAGCAAAGATTTATTGTGAGAATTGGTTCCTGTGATAATGGACATTGAAAAGTCCCACAACATGCCATCTGCAAACTAAAGAACCAGGAAATACAGTGATGTAATTCAGTCCCAGTTTGAAGGACTAAAAACCGGAGGAGCCAATGCTGTAGCTCCCAGTCCAAGACTGTAGGCCTGAGAACTGGGGATGGCTGGTGTACATCCAAAATCTCAAGTCTGACAACCAAGACCTCGGATGTCTAAGAGCAGCAAGATGGTTGTGCCACCTCAAGAAGGAATCAGTTCCCCTTCTCTTCACCTTTTTATTCTATTTGGGCTCTCAGTAGATTTCATGAAGCCTCCCCTCATTGGTGAAGGTGAATCTTTTTTGCCCAGTCTGCTGATTCAAATGCTGATCTCTTCTGGAAACATCCTGAGAGACATACCCAGAAATAATACTTTACCAACTATCTTGTCATCCCTTAGGTCAGTTAAAACATAAAATTAACCATCACAGTGCATAAACATATGAAAGAAATTCATTTATTTTAAAAAAGCAAATTAAAACCATGCTAAGATGTCATTTCTTATCCTTGAATAAGCAACATATTCTGATAGCAAAGTTGTGAAGAAACACACACTTTGCTAATTGCTAATGCAAATTGGTATGATTCTTATGGAGGTGAATTTGGTAATGTCTAACAAAACTACATATTCATTTACTTTTAGACCTAACAATTCCATTTATAGAATGTATTCTTTAGGTACAGTTCTAACACTATACATGTCTGTAAGGCTACTCACTCTGTCACTTTTATAATTTCAAAATATTGGAAACAACCTAAACGTCCACCTATAGGTTGAATAATCTATTATATGATACACCCATACAATGGAGTGCAAGGGGAACACAGAACAGTTAAGAAGTATCCCTTGGGCCAGGTGTAGCAGAGTTATTTTCTGGGGAAAACTAAAGGAAAATGAAAAAAGTATATTTATCATCACTGAACCTGTTCTGTGGCTTCCTTTCACTCACTTGACTCAAATTTAAAAATAACCTAAAAAGTGTGTTATTGTTGATAATTACATGTCAAGCACCACTTAAGTATTTGACATACCTATGATCATGACATAAACCTGTAGAGCAGATAACAGTATGTGTCATTTAGCACTTAAGATGAGGAGCATTTAGGGTGGGCATGGTGGTTCATGCCTATAATCCCAGCACTTTGGGAGGCCAAGGCAGGTGGATCACTTGAGATCAGGAGTTCGAGACCAGCCTGGCCAACATAGTGAAACCTCATCTACTGAAAATACAAAAATTAGCCAGGGGTGATGGCACGTGCCTGTAATTTTAGCTGCTCTGGAGGCTGAGGCAGGAGAATCACCTGAACCTGGGAGGTGGAGGTTGCAGTGAGCGGAGATCAGACCACTGCATTCCACATTCCAACCTCGGTGATGGAGTGAGACTGTCTCAAAAAAGAAAAAAACAATGATGGGGAACATTTAGATGAGGCTGAGCACAGTGGCTCACATCTGTAATACCAGCAGTTTGGAGGCAGAAGTGGGAGGATTGCTTGAGCACAGGCTGTAGTGAGCTGTCATCGTATCACTTCACTTTAGCTTGCGTGACTGAACAAAATCCTATTTTAAAGAGAGAGAGAGAGAGAGAGAGAGAGAAAGACTTAGTGAAATGAAGTACTTTTCCCAGAGCCAAAAAAATAAGACAGAGCTTGAGTCCAGATTCAAACCTAGTTCTTTGGCTACAATCTCTGCTCAACCCTTGTGGATGTTGTCTCTGGAGATTTGACTAGATGGCTTATGATTCTAGGGTTGCATGATACTATGAGTACAAATTTGAATAAAATGCCTTAAAGAAAATCTAAAACTTAGCTTTATTTGCATTTGGCTGTTTCTTTTTCTTCAACACACCGTGCGGTTTTGTTCGCATGAGAATCATATGGTTCCTTTTGCCTATTTTATGCTTTCCCACCTTGACTGACTCAAAAACTCCAGATTCATCCTTCACATCCCAGTTCATATAGAATCTCCTCTCTCGAACATTCCCTGAACCCATGGGCATATAGATTGTATGCTGTGTGCAGTGCAGTTTACAATAAAGGAAAGAGATATAATTCTAAAAACAGGCAGACCTGGGTTTTGATATGAGCTCCACTGCTAACTAACTCCATGACTTCAAACAATTACCTAACCGCTCTCAAATGTAGAGGATGAAAATGGACATTTGCTTAAAACTAACCTTCTCTGCCATGTGAAACTGTGAATTAAAACTGCAGTTGCTGAAATGTATTATTAATAATTGTTATTTTTACTGAAGAATATTTCTAAAAAATTTTGTATCTAAGTGGGAGACACTAGTAATATGTTCACCAATTGCATATTTAACATCAGCTAAATCATCTCCATAGCAACCAACAGTCATTCTTAACGAGGTGGAATACAGAACAAATCATCAAAACGTAAGACCATGGCCTCTGCTGTTATTTTTTCAAACATAACATAGTATTCAAGTGTTAAGGACTAACAAAAATAGTCATAATGGCACTGGAATGTTTTGCAAAGGAAAATAATTCCAAAGTTTCAAAAAGTCAATTTAAAGTAGAGAATATTTAGATGTCTTTTAGGTAGTAAGCTTGAGAGGCCATGCAGAGTGGTGTGTTGTTTTCAAATCTAACACATGGAAAAGACAATTTTGTAGAAAAGTATAAAATTGGCCCAAGAATAGGGATAAAAGTTGAGTAGATTGGTGGAGATAGGAGAAATTTAAAAGTCAAAACTGTGGTCCTTCACTCCAAAAAATTTCAATGTGTTTTCCGTCAAAAAACTGAAACCATTTTCCCTTAAAACCAGGATTTTTTTTTTTTTTAAGTTGGGGAGGTCTGACAGGCCTTGGATTATTCTATTTGCTCAGGGAGTTGTAGCCAAAGGTACAAGCCAAAATAAGTAGAAGCTAAACATATTGAAAAAGAAGAAACAAATATGTTTGCAGATATTGACAGTCTAGGAAATCCAAGCAAATCTGCTGCAAAACTGTTTGACCGAAAAAATGGTTCAGCAAGAGGGATGGACATAAGATAAATATACAAGACTAGATGAATTTCCTTTTCACCAGTAGAAACAATAATTAAACTAGATAATTGGAAAAGGGCTTCATTCTGAAATAGCAGCAATTATTATAAATATAGGCCTATACCTAACAATACATGTGCATCACCCACCTGAAGAAAGCTGAAAAGCTCAAATAAAGGACCCTCACAGTTAACCTAAATGAATGGATAGAAAAAAAACGAACAAGTCACTTTCTAGAATCAGTGATTTTCAATACTGTACAAATGACCATTAGCCAATTAATTAAATTGGCTAATTAAATCATTAATATTTTAAATTTTTGTTTGATTTCTAAATAGGCAAATGGATTTTAATGTTCACTTGGAAAAAAATAAATAAAACTTACAGCCAAAATTAAAATTGATGTTTGCAATACTTGACAATATAGCTTGCCATAAAGTCATTGTAATAAATATTGTGAACCTGGAACAGAAATAGACAAATAGAGCCTTGGAAAATAATAAAAAGTCTACAAATAGCTTAATATAGTTACATAAAATTAGTATAAAATCGGTGGCGTTTCAAGTTAATGAGAATGGATGAGTTGGACTATGTTATAATTGATATTGAGATAATTGGTTAGCCATTAATTTAAAATGTAAATTATTATTGACATAATACACAAGAATTAATTTCATAATTATTAGAAGTGTATATAGGGGAAAAGTATAAAATTTCTTAGAGAAAATATAGCATACAGGAATATTTTAAAATCTTGAAGTCTGAAGGTCTTTTCTAAGCTTACTAAGCAGCCATAAAATAAAAGATAAGCAAATTTGAAAACTTGATCATATGGATGATTATTAAACAAAAGTATTTAGTGTGGTAAAAGACACCATAAACAAAGTTTAGAAAAACAATAACAGGGCTGGGCTTGGTGACTCACACCTGTAATCCCGGCACTTTGGGATGCCATTGAGAGCAGATCACCTGAGGTCAGGAGTACAAGACTAGCCTACCCAACACGGTGAAACCCCATCTCTACTAAAACTACAAAAATTATACAGGAGTGGTAGCAGGTACCTGTAATCTCAGCTACTTGGGAAGCTGGGGTAGGAGAATCCCTAGAACCTGGGAGGCTGAGGTTTTGCAGTGAGCCAAGATTGTGCCACTGCACTGAAG